ATGCAGTCTGCACCCAGAGCAGAGCAGAGCGGGCCCTCTGCACTGAGGCAGTGTGGGAGGGCTTCTTGAAGGAAGTGGCAGTTGGGCAGATATTAATACTCACTGGTATTAATCAACGGCATTTGTAGACTGATTACCGCTAGTCTGCGGCTAAGATAGGTTAATGCGTTGCCTCACTTAATTGCCGACGACACCCCCTAGGAGGAGGCTGCCTTATTAGCACTTTGTACCCAGGAGGAAATGAAGTCAGAGAGGTAAAGTCTTAAGGTCACACAGCTAGTAAGTGGCAAAACTGAGATTTGATCCCTGGTCTTTCCGGCCCAAGCTGGTGCTCCTAGTAACTCTCAGTGGGAGGGTTTTGAGCTCTGCAGTGACTCAGTCCAGCCACATATGCCCTGGGGCAGGGGAAGGTCCCGGCTCCCGGGGTGTTCCCAGTGCCTCCTTTCTCCTTCCAACTGTGTCACCTTGGACAAGCTCCTTGCCTTCTGTTCTTGGTTTCCTACCGTGTGACGGTACTTGGTCATTCCTTCCTGCCCAGTTGATTGGTTTCTGGGAGGGGAAAAGGGCACCCCAGGTGGGGTGGGGTCAGGGGACAGGGCCACAGGAAGATGTCACTCCTCCGGGCCTCGTCATCATCCAGTCTCCACTCCTACCTAAGACTGTGGCCCTCCCGGCTTCCCTCTTCCCCTGTCCACACCCAGTGCCTCGGTGGGGCTCTGCCCCTCCCCGCCCCCCAGAAGCCTGCCTTGTGCTTGGGTGGGGTGGAGGGAGGCTCACTGGGGGCCCCTGCTCACAGCCCGCCCTGCCCTTCCTGCAGAAGAAGCTCCCCCTCATGGCTCTGTCCACCACAATGGCCGAGAGCTTCAAGGAGCTGGACCCTGATTCCAGCATGGGGTGAGCAGGAACGGGGTGCCAAGCGGGGGATCTGGGCTGGGAGGGGTTCCAGGTGAGGGACGGGTGACCAGGATGGGGGTAGTTAGTGTCTTGAGCTGGGGGCGGGGGGCGGCGTC